CTGTTATTATAACATTATTATATATATCATTATCATAACTGAACTGTTCCATGGAACGTTTGATAAGAAAAATATATTTACGCGGTACAAGTTACTTTTAACGAAAAATGACTTGCTTCTGAGTGCCCACTATATCATTTTTATATTAAGTTCTTAAGAGCAGTAAATCAGTATTATATCAACGCATGTTCATTTTATATGAATGGCACTGTATGTATGTATATATTGTTCACAAACGTGTTATATATTGAGTGAAAGCTTGAAAAAGAAAAAGAAGCTTCTCTCGTCTCTAGATGATTCAAAAGCTTCGAGAGAAAGTGAACACGGCGACAGAATCGACGAGCAGACAGAGCGAACTGATCGACACAACGATGGCGAAGATGCGAAATCTGGAGGACGAACGGTCCGAGTTGGAAAGCAAAGTTCGCAAATTGGAAGCCGAGTTGGCGGATTGCGAGCTTTCGAAGGAACCTTTGCGCAGAGAGAAGCAAACGGTAACTACGGTTCGCACGTGCACTGCCACTCAAAAATACGTGGACGTTTACCATTTTTTTAAATACACTGAATATCGAAACTGTTATAATTTATCGTAAAAAGAAATCGTACATAAATAAATTTAGAGATTCAGCTTGTCTCAAAGCCTCTACATTTGAAATCGTATCGTTCGTTTTATTCTAACAATAAGATATTTTTACGTTATATAGCAGATGGCAAAGTGAACGTACTTTTCTTCTCGAAAATGCTACAATATTGTTACACGTACGTGAAAATATTGAAAAATATTTTTTTCAGAACTAAATCTACAGTGAGTTTGAAGATGACATCTTTACTGAATGACACTTGACTGAAAACTTGTGGTATGATTTTTATTTATCATTTTATTGAGCCTTAAACGAATATTTAAAATTCAATAAAAAATCGCACATTAAAGCTTCAATATTGAAATTCATTTAATCGCAAAAAAAAAAAAAAGAAACAAGTTTTCAATGCTTTACGTGACAATTTGTAGCATTTTCAACGAGGAAAGTGTCTTCACGTTGCCATCTGTTAACACAATATAAAAACATTTTAGAATAAAGCGAACGATACAGCTTGAAAGTAGGGGCTTCAACCTGTGAAACGAACCTATGTTTACTGTGTACAATTTTTCTTTTTATATGAAATTTTAACAGCGTAAATAATGCATAGAAAAACGTGGCGCGTTTGAAACTGACAATTCCGACTAATCGTTTCCAACTGTCCTAGTTGGTAACGTTTTTGGACCGGTTAGGGAAAGCGATGCAGATGGACGAGATCTCGGAGGAGATGGGGCTGGATCTTCAAACGGAATCGCTTTTGGTACGCGCCGAGCAACTCGCCAGATTAGAAACCGACAAACTGGTGGACAAGGTAAAAAAAAAAAAAAAAAAAA